AACATGGAGCCATGGCTGTATTGAAGAGGTGCATGAGAGGCCTGCCAGATTCTTTCTCCACTCTTGCAACTAAGGGCCCAAGGGATGTGAGGAGGAAGATTATCCATGAGGCCCTGGCCTGGTTGCGGCAGAGCGGGATGCTAGAAGATTCTGGGCTAAATTCATTGCTCAGGCCATCGCTCTCTAGGCATGTACACCACCTCACGTAAATTACCTCCCATGTTCTTTTGCAACCCGGAGCTCAGGGCCAACCTGCAATCATTCACTTCCCCGGTACGCTTCGGAAGCCTTGGCAACGCTGTTCGCCAGCAATGCAGGGCTTTGAATAATGCAGGAGTGCAGTAGAGTTGAATGCGCTTTGGGCAGGCCAGCGTGAGGACCGAAGTGAAGCATGATCAGCAACCCTAGTGGGAGGCCCTTCCCAACCTCCATGTTTCGTGCTCTACAGATCTTGAGTCCTTCCCGTGTTCCTCCATGGTTCCGGGCGTAATGCCAGGCATGCCCTGCGGGTACTGGGCGGGTTCTCATGCGAGGTTGGCATCCAGTCAGCCGCTCTCCCTGGGACGAGGCACAAGCTTTGAGGGTCGAGATGTCAGCAGAGGACGAAGGGATACCCACGGCACCTAAGCGCGAGATAACGCAGGATGTGCAGCCTGCATCGCTCAGGCTTGGTGGCAAACCCATGCCGCGATGTGCCGGTCCAGCCGACAGCCCTGCCGAATACATTGTCAAAAGACTTAATAGAAGAAGTTCCTACACGGAATGCCGGCTTTGCCTGATGGGTGGGTTGTCTGTCTGAGCGAAAATGCCAGGCATCGGGTGACATGATCGGCATTGCCGGACAGCCTTATCCCTTGGCGAGTCGTGCCCAGCCCTACTGTATAAGGGCCTAGATCATGTGGACAGCCTGTGCGATGCTCAAAACACCTCAAAGCAGTTTCAAAGATTTAGGCCCTTGCAGGAGGGGTGTACCTTAACGAGCCGCAGGGCGAGTGGGTCGAAAAGCAGCGCAGGGCAGCGTTGGTTTCTATGAATGCGCGTAAAATTGCAGGGGCCGAGCCACAATCATGTCCTAATGACCTTGGCGCCTCCTGTCCTGACACACTTTTTATTGGTTCTCTTTGGTCTGAGGTTGTTATCTTCGCGGTCCTGATATGTCCTGATCAATCTCCTTGGTTAGAAGGTGTTAGGGACGTTGAAATTGGTCTTCGACCAGTCAATGTCAACCAGTGCACAGGATCCATGCTTGCCAAAGTTGGCAGACTCTTTGAATACGGCCTGCTCCTTTCTTTCCTGCGCACTTAAGGAAAGCAAAAAAGGGCCCTCCAAATTTTTCCGCTAGAAGAATTGTTTAGATGATTATCCAATTTCCCGGCTGCTGCCAAGCTGATTGAAGTAGCATAATCCTTGGTTTCTTGCAAGGCAATACATGGGCGTCTCTAACGCCATGTGCCTCCTGTCTCAAGATATGGCGCCCATGACTGTTGATACGACATTGCAAGTCCTGATTCTATCCGCTGACGCATTTGCCTGCTGAAGTTATCAGGTTCACGTTGCCAGGAGCTTTCACGTTATACCGAGGAGTACTTACGACATTGCATTTGTTCCTGAAGCTAAGGCGGGCTAATCCTGGCGCTGCGCATCCAAGCTTTGATTGAGACATATCTTTGCTCAGAGACCAGCTGCCTTCATCTGTGCCACACATATTCAAAGAGGGGTGCGTGCGACGTATTGTAGGGTCTGTGGCATTCGTGCTGCTGGAACTGAGGTACCGTTGGGGAAGGTCTAGGCAATGCGCTGGGCGGTTCCTCCACCAGCAGATAGGGGTTCAAACACTTTTGCAACGTTTGAGCCGGCTGCATGGACAACTACACTACACGCAGGAAAGCATAGCAGCAAAGCTCAAGCCTGAGAGCCGCTTCCATTTCCGAGGCTACCTTGGGGATATTGCTCACATGAGACGACCTACTGATGGGAGGACACCTGATCACACTGAGATGCTGTCAGCCATAGCAGACGTGATCAAGTTCAGAGTGCAAGCGTGACATTCCGCAGGATTTTCATTGCGATGTTCTCCGTGCTGGTAAATGTTCCCTTCCTCTACGCCATCTTCATGGGTGTGGCTCTGGCATGTAATCTTGTAGAGCAGAGCACTCCTGGCCGCAACTCACCAAATGCTCGTGCAATTCAGGTTGCGAAGTCCCAGGACTTGTCAGCTCCGTGGCGGAGAGACTTCTCGTGCCCAAGAGGCTTGGCACAAACACCCTCGCTGTTAGGTTTTCTTCGCTGGGCTGCTCTTCACCAGTGGTGTCTTCACCTCATGGGAAGTGGCTGGATGCCTCTGTCCACTCGTGCCGGGTGCCCGGTTGCGCTGAGTGCAAGGGAGTGAGAGAGGAATTCTACGAGGAGCTGTTGAAGCAAGTATCCCCACTTGCGATCTAGTCACTAGTCGAAACTAGCGCATGTAGCAGGTTGAGTAAAGGTGAGCTGTCTATGGCAAAGACTTGCTTTGCAGATGTGTGAAATCAGGATAGACATCGTGCCGCGGCGCCAGCTTTCTTCGGCATTCGCCTGGAATGCCCGCTGGCATTGCTCATTTGGGTATCTCTTGAGATGGAAGGCTAACTCTTGCCTGTCAGCATGACTTTTTGGTCGAGCAATTTGCCCTGTGCTGTTCGCACATGTTGATCTGCAATTGAAGACTTCTAGCGAAGGTCCTTGCCTTGAAGGACCAGCTGTAGGGCACATGCAGATGGGGTGTGGCAATGGGGCTGGTGCCGCTTCCTGCGTTGCCTCAGGTTGCAATTGTGTTCACAAGTGGCAACATGATCGGGCCCATGCTTGTGGGCCTGGGCCTCGTCATTTCAGAGATCCGTGTCGGGCGGCGTCAGAGCCTCCTGAGGGTCTATAGGCTGCAGCATGACGTGCGCGGTGCACGAGCTGTTTGAACATGCCAGGCATCACGGCCCAAAAGATCTTCAAGTACAAGCTGACAACCGAGAGCATCGCCACTGCAGCTGCACAGAGTCAGAGCGAAAGCCTAGTAGAGTCCTGCCTATGCAAAATAACCCAAAGCAGCACAGGAGGAGATGGGTGCTGACATGCGCGAGCACAATGCGGAGGCGGCAAATCTGCAAAATCTCTGAAATGTGGAGCCTATAACCCATTGTGGTAGTTTCCATACCATTTTCCGTTATCCCAATACTACCCCAGTATCCTGAAAAATGTTTGGAGCTGAAGCCAAAATGCAGGCTTTGGGGAAATCGCTGTGCTTCAGTTCCATTGTGCCTTGCATTATCTCCGCCTTGATCTTCAGCATGCTGCGTGGCTTCCGTTGGCAGAATTGGGGTAGGACAGTTGGTCCTTGACCTGGAGCTTGCTTGATCTTGCTTGCAATTGTTTAGAATTTTGACTTCTTACACAGCTCCTTTCATGGAAGCCCAGCTGAATTATAGATGCCACATCTGAACATGAAATCTTCGCAGCTCACGATGCTTATGATTTAAAAGGAGGGCCATCGGAGTGCTAATCATGTCTGCAGGAGGATCAAAACGTAGAAGCAAGCTGAGGCTTTTTTGTACGTATGCCTCTGATAAACGGAGCCTCGAGGACTTTGTCTTTGAGAATTGATGGTTCTGAGAGCAGGAATTCGTAGCAAGCTGTGCTGGCTGTACATGCTGCCGCTCCTTCCCATGTGTAGCTAGGACAGAGGCGAGACCGACAGTGACGTGGCGGAGACATCCAAGGAGCTAGCAGCGAGCAAATCTGTTTCAGGAGAAACAACGTCAGAAACCACCAAGCAGGACCCACCCACAGAGACATCGCACCTGCTCTCAAAGCGCCGATCGGGCGAGGTATCGGCAGTGCCATGCTTGCTTACTGCCTGAAAGTCAGCTCTGACTTCACTCAAGTGTCGTCACTGCTGCCTGCACATGTCCTTCTTTTCGTCAGGCGTGGTTTTTGTCAGGTACATACAGGAGTCTGTTGCTTCTCTGCATTGACCACCGCGTGCAAATTCTCATGACCTCTGCAGCACTATCCGAATACTATCCCAGCAACAATTCACGCAACAAGGGCCACAAGATGTAGGGGACGGTGACTTAACACTCGCTGTATGGCATCTACATGTGCCAGGCAGATGCGCCCAAGCTCTCGCATGCTTGAGTCGCTTGAGATGAACAAGTGAGACCGGCTGAAAGATGTCGGGGTTCCGGATCTGGCGAGAGTGCTAGCTTATGATTTGTGATGTGCTGGCTAGGAAGGTCTTAGGAGGACCTGGCAGCTCATGTTGTTTGACCGTGACAGCTTATGCACGCCAAGCCTGGATTAGACAACGTTCTGAGGATCAATAAGTTGTGGAACCCAGGTGGCTTCTGAGCGGCAGCTCCAGATGAGGATGGCTGACTAGCGGTGACATGAAAACGCAAGCATGTCCGGTTCGCGGTGACAAGACACAGTAAGCATATCTGGTTCACCAACATGCAAGCAGATTAGCATTACAGCAATGACATACCTGGACACACCTGATGTGGTCGGATGGTGTGCAGCATTTCACGCGGTAGGAAGTTAAGACTCCGTCTCATGAAATCTCCCGAAGCTTTGTCACTTAGGCATCAATGCTGTTCGGTTCTGTGTCCAAATCATGCAGAAGCCAAGGGCTGCCTTGTTTGTCTGAAGCAGGCTGTTCAGGGCCTTCAGACATCAGACACATTCATAATCCAAGCCGAGCTTGGTGCTGCGCACTTTAGCTTTAGGCTGCCGAGCTCCTGAAGAGCGTTGGAGCCAAGCTAGAGACAAGCATTCAAGATCACGATGCTTTTATCCGAGCTAGGCTGGTGCTCTTTGGCCAGGCAGCCTTTACCAATCTGTCTGTTACACACAGACAGACTCGGCTGGTCCAAAAAGCGTTTCTGCGAGGTGCATGTTTTTTTTTTTTTTTGGTCGGGGGCTGCAGCATGCCAGCACGCAGCTTCAGCACGGGGTCGCTGCTTGTTGCTGAGGTTCGCGCCGAATGGCCATCTGGGCTCCGCGGCTACAAGGTGGCCAAGCGCCGCGGCGCCGCGTTGTTGGTGTGCAAGTGAGGACATGCGATGCCGGAATTGCCATACAGGGCCACACTCGCCTGGCTATTTTGATGGACGCAGTCTGTAGAATATCCGGTTTCAGTGCTGCAAGGCCACAGTTGCAACTTGTCGCGATTCGCGACCCTCAACTCTGCGACCCCCCCGTGAATCGCTCCGGCGGTGTTTTCATGCTGGCTCGTGAGGCATGGGCTCGTTCTCTGCGATGCTGAAGTTGGCGTCGTGAGTCTGCCCCCCGGGTCGGACGCTGAGGAAGTTTGATTGGGGACAGGGGAACCACCAGAAAGACGGATGAACTTTGGGCATGAAAGAGATTTTTTTTTGCGCACGGGCCTTGTGAAAGAAACGCTTCAGGGACTAAGCATGCTTGGCCGGAATGGGGTTCACGCATGGACTCCATCAACCCCCTGCGCTTCCTTCGTCTGAGTACCTACTGTATCTCTGAAATTGAGTAGAGCTGCTGACACTTGAAATACGTATTCCTCCTGAGACGCAGATTACCTTGGAGAGGGTCTGAACCGCAAGTTTTGCAAGCACTTTGTTCAAGCCAGGGTTATCCTGGGCACTTAGCACTTTTGAAATCTCGAATCTACCTGCCTCTGTCAGCAATGCCCCACCTATGTATATGTGCTCACCACCTGATATACTGGCATATATAAAGAAATTGATCCACACTGAACATGTACATTGGAGGTCTGCCCCGTATTTGCGCGAAGAGCTGCCGCAGCTCCAGAGGCTACGCAATGTGCGGGCCTTCAGACAGCCCATTTGCACTAATCGCATGCCTGGGTCTGCTACCATTGCAGTGAGGGGGCGTTCTGCTAGTTCTTGCTATGTCGACCTCTACCGCTGTTGAAGCTTGTGCTCGACTGCTGTCACTATGTCATTGCAGCTTTGCCAAATCAATTTTGTTACGGAAATGCCGCTTACACGATAAGGCCAGCTAGGATCCATATGCGACCAAGGACCCGCACATCGATCGCCGGTTGCCAGGGCCTTGACGATGCCAGGGCTTCATTGATTTCATGTGCAATGCAAGCATGCCCCGGTGGCAGCGTACGGTCACAGGCCTTGCCTTCTGTTTGCTGCTGGCAGAAACTTGTGCAGGTTTGATGATGTGGACAGGACGAACTCGGAGGCGGGCATGTTGAACTTAGCGAAAGCAAGCATTGGATGTCAGCTGGGGCAAGGTCAATTAATTTTGAACTTGCATCCGAAAGGTAGGGCTCCTGCTCGCATGACAGGCCAAATCTGTTGCCATGTCACGGTGCAGACCCTAGCGTCGTTAGAGTCGCTTTCTTGTCTCTGTCAAGTCGCTGGACCATGTTCTGCAGGATCTCACAGAACCAGGCCCTACCTAGCCGATGCTTCCATCCTTGGAATGTAGGATGGCTTTTGCACTGATGCGTTGACATATGTCACGGCTGAAATCTAGATGGCTGAAAGGAGCATATCGCCTCGCAACTCCCAGCCTATGCATTTTGCGTAGTATCCTGCCATGAGAGTTTGAAGCATCTCAGGGTCTTTGGGCTGCAAGCAGCTCTCTCAGAGCTGGCAGAGGGCCTCCTCGAAGCAGGCTGTGAGGCAGGGATCTAAGCAGCAGGCACTTGCAGAATGCGTTGCTTGCGCGCCCAAGCATAAGCGTACAGCTAAAAGTGCAGAACTTAGCCGTGTACGGCTGTTTTCGGTTGCTGGTAGCGTGAGAGCCTGCTGCCCTGCGACCTCAGTGTGTTTCTAGAATCCAATTTATCAACAGTCGCAGAGTTTGTGTCCCTATAGCATTGTGCAGGCCTCCGGGTGAAAAAAAAATGTTCTTGCCACAAGGCACCTGCTTCAATCGACAATCTGAAGCCAATGTGCTTGCCATGTTCCTCTTGTCCTTGCAACGCAAGCCTCATCAAGACCCTGCATCATCATTCATGAGCATCACCTATGCCATCCACCCTCTAGGCCCAGGATGGTCATGAGTTGGCCCACATCATGGAGCCCTGTGAACCTTTGAACATCTTTGAACCCGTTGCCTCTGAGGCTTCCTTGGAGCTGGGCACAGCGGGCTGGCTCCAGGCCATGGAGGTCCGGCATATGCCTGGCACATGCACAGCCTTGACTTGGGAGAAGTGTGCTGAGACATACGTCACGTTGGGATTCATGATGAGGGATGACAGGGGTAGTGGTGGCGCAGACATGGCACACGCTTACTTGGAAACTTGAATTTCATATTGCTTTGCAAAGCCTTTCTCTCTGGCGGTGAGTGGTGCGCATTGCGTTCCCCTGCAGCGAGCAGCTCAAGCAAAAGCAAGTCCTGGCCTTCCCTGCCGCCGATAATAGCAGCTTAGTAGCTCCTTAGCAGCGACATCATCGTGGTGAAAGCTGACTCTTTGTTAGATGAGGTTCGCTGCCTTTGGTTGGGGTAATTTCACTTGAGTCTCTTTTTGCCAACTTCTTTCCGTAGCCTCATCTTGCGCAATCCAGGCTAGAGGATCCCAACCAAAATCCAGTGGCAGAAATCAGGGTTGATTGGAAGCTGCAGCATGCTGCAGCTAAGGCAAGACGCTATGGGCGCAGCGGTTCATGACGTCATCCAAGAGGCAGCCACCACCACGCAGGCTACAATGATGGAGCTTGGGGAACTGAATCCACCTGTTTTGACTAATTTTTGGGATTGACAAGCTTGACGCAGGCTTGTGTTGAGCTGGTAGTATGATACATCTGTATATCACTAGTTCTTGCGTGCAGCGCCACTTCTGCATTGGTCCATTTGCTGTTGCTTGGTCATCCAGTTCGACACTTTGCAGAACACAACTGCCTTGCTGGATTGTAAATTTGTAGTTATGAAGAATTTAATGTGGGTGGTTTGGATCTCGGCTCCGCGATCATGGATTGCCAATGCGGGTCTCTACTCTTTGTGGATCCCAAGATCGCCAAAACAGACACTATTGAGAGGTAGATGTGGCACAGATCCTCGAGAAGCTGCCCGGCAAAAGGAGTATGACCCGCTTATGGCCTCATGTTTCTGTCGTCTTCTAGCATCGCCGCTACTCGTGCGGTGAGCCTCAACTTGGCTAGGATAAGTCATGCATGTTCCCTACTCTGTCGTGATGGTCATCACGACAAGTGCTGCTAGTGTAAAGATTCCACTGACATCCATCTTCCCTCTTTCCAGCCACCTTGCTGGAAATCCACAAAGAAGCGGACCATTTTTCAAGTGCTTATTGCCAAAATTCTTCAAATTGAGCTGTGCAACTGACTCCGCAAGTCAAGCCAGAAGCGATGCAATCTGCTTCAGATGCCTGAGAACACCATTCGGCAAGTACTTGAGGAGATCTGGACATTACAGGCTAGGCGGGAAAGAACACATGTTTACGGCGAAAGACGTTGAACCTCGCTCGAAACTACATCGAGCAATGCTGCATCTTGCGAGTCGACCTCAAAGTTCTAGCCGGTCCCAGTCCTCAGAACTCATGATCCATTACATATGATCACCCATTATAGCACACAAATTGGGGTCCATTATTCGCGAGAGCATCCAGGTGCTCACCCGCACGCGTCTCGGGCCGCGTCGGCCGGCACCGGCCGCGGCCGCGACGGGCAGGAAGTCACTTTGCCAGAAGCAGCATCACAGGCCCTTTTCTTGAGGCAATATATGCTTTCATGTGTGTATATACATTTCCGGGAGTTGTGCGGACTACAGCAGGTGTCTCACTAGCATGGAGCTTGATGATCTTTGGTCGTTCTTGTTCCATCACTGCTGATATATATATATATAATATACCATGTTCTTAATATTGCTACCATGTATTGTCAGCTTGAGACAGTACGTCAAGGCGGGATTAAATTGTGTGGCAGGACTTCAGTGCAGCCGCCAATAGTTTTCAATCTAGTGTGGGCTGCAGCGTCTAGATCACAAGTATGCATGCGTAGTGCATGAGTGACGTGTCCTCCCAACACGGCTGCAAGACGGTCGGAATGCGATCCATCACCTTTCCAGTGTGACTTGAGACAGCACTGGGATCGATGAGCTGGAGTGAGAAGTTGCTGTGTATGCTAAGGGCGGCTAAACGAAGAGCCAGCGATAGCATGTAGCACCGACCTTTCTCAGCATCTTGGCCAGCATGATTGTTGAAGGAACAGTGCGGGCATTCACACACACACACACCACAAGCTTGTTTGAAGCCATTTGCATGTTGGACGAGGTGCGGATCTAAGTCCCTTTGGGTAGCTGGCTTCAGGTCATGAAGAAGCCTTCCATTCTCCGACATCCAAAAACCTAATGTAAGTCCCTGCGCCTGGAACCAGTGCAGATCAGGACAGACGTTGAAGACGTGCTGAAGATGATGAAGGCGTCCGTGGGAAATCCACAGGTGCAAGAGAAAGGACAGGGCGTCGCAAGAAGTTCTGCGTGAATGCCGCTTTCAGTATGAGCAGCAACAGCCTCATGAGTGCCATAAGGGCCTCAATTTCTTTTGTGCGGGATTCGCTGCAGGATGCGAATCGCTGAAGCGTTTGGCCATGGAAAGAGAAGGACAACCAGAGGCACCAAGGGTTGGAAATCCGAACAGTGCCCCAAACTGAATGGCCAGGTGATTCACCAAGGAGGTATCACTGCAGTTGCAGCTTGGCTTTTGCTCATGTTAAGTCGCAGCACGCTGTGTGAAATATCGCTGTCTGAGGTAAAGGCCATGGAACACCACAAAGGCATTGGAGTACAGCTGGCTGGATTGAACTGTTTGGAGAAGACACTTGGTTGAAACTTTCTCTCAACTCCAGCAGTTGCAAGCCCAGCCCTGGGCTGTGGGAGTTGTTGCATCTTCTAGATTTGAAAACGGCTGTGTACTTCAGAGGCTCTGTTGCTTCTCGTGTCGTTGACAGGTGAGGCGTAGACAGACTGACAGCACAACACTCAGTAAAGGGTTTTAAGGCAAGCCATGCAGCCAGAGTATCTAGCTCCTTTTCTTTTGCCACTTGCGTTTCGAAGCCGCCATGACTTCGGCAGAACATTGGAGGGAGGCATGGCATCAGCTACAGTTTGCTCTGCCAGTCGCCAGTGTCAATTTGCTCCAGCGAGTACCAGTGTGGGTGACCTGGATCTGCGTGGGCCACTTGGGTGAAGACATCATGGGCCCTGTCACCCTCTCTAGCAGTGTGAACAACGTCTTGGGCACGTCTGTGGTGGGTGGCTTGTGTATGGGCATTGCAACCCTGGCATCACAGGCCCATGGGGCTCGCAATGATGCAGCCCTGAGCCTCGTACTCCAGCGTGCGATTCTGGTGGGTTTGATTGGCTCCTTGCCGTGTGTCTTGCTGCTTCTGGTCATGAAGCCCCTACTCTTAGCCTTTCACATGACCGAGGATTTTTCCAACGTTGCTGGCCGATATGCCTTCTGTGTGATCCTTGTGACACCATTCATGGGCATGCAGCGGTCCATCGGCATGTGGTTGGTCTCACAAAAGATCAACATGCCGCGGTTGGTAGCTGTGTCCGTGGCAATACCTTTGCATGCCGCGATGACCGTGGCGGTGATGGCCTACAGCACCTTTCGCTATGAAGGCGCTGGTGTGGCCATGACCATTAGTACAGCACTCCAAGCTGGCCTGCTGTATGCCTACATTTCTTGCTCCTCCGCTTGCGCTAACTCTTGGAAAGGATTCACAAGGCAAGCCTTTAAGGATTGGGGTCCATACCTCGCGGTGGCCATCCCAGGCGTCTTGATGAACACAGAATACTTTGTGGGTGAGTTGCTGACGCTTGCCGCAACTCTGTTGCCAGATCCTGACGCGTGCCTCTCTGCACTGTCAATCTATCAGCTTACTCAAACAACTTTCTACCAGATCCCCAGTGGAATTCGTATGGCCATCAGCGCCAGGGTTGGCAATCAGTTGGGAGCCGAGCAGCCGCAGCAGGCAGCAGTATCGAGCCGAGCAGGCCTTCGGCTCATACTCATTTGGCTTTGTTTGCCCGCCGCTTTACTGTCCATCTTCACTAGGCAATGGGGCCTCATGTTCACGAATGACGAGGACGTCCTCAGATTACTCGAAACACTTGTTTGGCTCTTGCTGGTGTACAGCAGTCTAGATGCCGTGCTTGCTTACTACAACGGCGTTCTTTCTGCCTGCGGGCAGCAGAGTATAAGTGGCAAATGGGCCATTCGAGGCTACGTGTTTGTCAGCTTTCCCCTTGCCATGTTGTTCGCATTTGTCTTCAAATGGAGGGTGCATGGGCTGTGTGCTGCGCATTGTCTCGGCAAGCTGTGCCATACCCTTCCCTGTATGGTTGCAGTCTGGAAGATCGACTGGAACAAAGAGAGCGCCAGGGCTGTAGAACGCGTCGAGCGCGTTGCGGCCGTATCGACAGTGCCGCTGATCAGCCGCTCCTAGCCGTCCTAGGTCCTAGTCTGAGATGGCTTCGTCTCCCAGCTAGTGGAAGCATCCATTCCCAGAGCTGAGATGTGCAATACCTGTGAGCAAGTTTTGTTAGAGACAACCATAGAGCCTGGACGTGGAGCCCTGCTGAAAGCAGAGGCGTTCATGTATTGGCCCCTGACCGACTTCACGGCAGTGTTGTCTTCCGAGAGGTAGGAGAAACACGCCACGGGTTGAGATGTGGAGCATCTGGGAAAACTGTGGCTGGGAGGGCTGAGCTATGTGTGGGATGAAAGTTGCATGCAGTGTACGGCCCAGTTGCGTTCTAGTACATGCCATCACCAGGCCCTCCGAAACTCGGATCTTTCGGATGATTAGCACCCATCTCTCCTGGCCGCCTGCCACCCCGAAAACTCAGTAAGGCTGCCCTTGAAAAGTCCTGACGCATGGGTCCATGTCTCACTATGCACAAGCTGCGCCCAAGTGAGTCTCCTAGCATCCAGAAACCAAGCCCCAATCTACGCAGCACAGGCCTGAAAGCTGGGACATCCTGATACTTTATTTGACACATGCGAGTTCTGAAAATGCCGGCCTCTTTTGCTATTCGCTCGAATCTGAGGGGCATGCAAAATGAGGCTCCCGTTTTTCAGAGAGAAATCCCCAGGCGATGTACCCACAAACTCAAGAGCAAACTGAGGATGATTGCCAACAAC